CGGAGCTTAGAAGTTCTGCAGTAGATTATAATTGACAGAGGAACCGAATGGTAAGGACGGCCATCAACACTTACTTCAGTTATATTTCTCCCTGCGAATACAAGTTCTGTTACAACTAACTACGAACAAGTCATGGAATATATGACTGCTCATGACAAAACTTGTGTTCATCTACTCTGTTCTGTCGTGAGGAAACGTTGAAAGATTCTTTTCTGATCAGTGACCACTGAAGAGATGAATACATTTCAAGGAGATTTTTACGTGTATCAGGTGCAGCAAATTCTGAAGATGCTAAATGAAAATAAGAAGCAACTACATAATCATATAGGACACAGGTGATATTTTTAGAAAAAGTCTGTTATGGTAACCACGGCGACGTCGAAGGAGATCAACTAATGGTCAATGCATCGATCCAATGGAAATTGTGAAGACATCGGAACCAGATTTGGATGAAATTCAATATTATTTTCGACATCTGCACTCTTGTGTTCTCGGTAGAAATTCAATGTTCGATTCGACTGTGTTTATGAACTAACTCGTTTGATCTTTAAATTTTGTTCGACTCGACTTCCTGAGCTTGATTCATATTCGACTCATTCTAACTTATGTGTTTTCCCTTAATGAGTGACATAAAATATCTTGTATTCTAATTTTCATAACATGGATACTGCTTATTTTCTCTCGTACACTATCATTTAAACAGATCCTACGCTTTCTTCAGGGTTAACAATAATAAAAGTCGTCTTGTTTGAAAAACCGATTATCAATTCAATAAAATAATGGTGATCTTGACACGGTTCATACTTATCTTTATTTACAGACTGGTGAAAAGAGAAGAGAAAGTCTGTCATCCGTCAAAAAAGACAATTCAAGGAAAGAAAAATTTCCTTCCTAATCGAAGAGACTGGTCTTTAAGTTTGATTTGTCATGATTCTCAGTATCTCAGAACAACTATAGCAGTAAACAGTTTTTCACATGTAGTAAATTGATATCAGTTTTCTATTCAATGATGAATGTGACTGCTACCTCATATTAAAACATCCTCGATACAAAAATTATTACAATCTTTAACTTGTTTTATTTTACGAGCTACGAATAATTTCTCGAGAGTTTCGATCATCTGACCTCGTATCAGCTAGACATTATGTGACATTGAAATTAACAATAATACTCACTGAAGTGATAATTTCTTTGTTTTCAGAGCGAGCTGCAGTCATTCGATCTACGTATGTTTTCCAAGTATGACTTCTGTACATTCAATAGGCAAAAATCTGAGTTTTTAAAATAAAATTACACAATATCCTGTCAAAACCAAGTTCAAGCGAATGGATGTCTCTCGGTAATTGCTTTTGTCTCATAACGAAAAAAGATAAGATCCTTTTTAAAAAGACCGCAAGAAAACACTATGGAGCAAACAAATGGCTAGCTCATAGTGCATTCTGAATACAGTTTCGCCTAGAAAAGTCTACTATTGAGCGCTGGAAATCCCAGGTTGCCAATTATGTAGAAAACTTCTTCAAATCTCAGGTGTCTTGTATTGATATATATTCCCGGGATTTGTATATCGGTATTTTGAAAACTTGAACACAATAGCATGCAATAATCGAAGAGTATACAAAGAATGGAAAATAAGTGTTCTTCAGAAACTCCAATCATCATTCCATCAAGCATATCCGAGTTTGATATAGAGAATACTATTATATTACTAAATAAAAACTGAAAAAGATTGCAAAACTTCGTTGAAAAGGCTAGTTTAGAAATCTAGATATTCATAGTACAACAAGACAGCTACGGAACAGAGAAAAAAGTTTTTGAAGAAGTTAGTATCCTGACTAGCCAAAACAATTGATAATTTCTAAATTAGACTAAATTTTACTGGTACAGAAATGTCGAATTCCATCAACTTTCTGGAAGTCTAATCAAATTATCAGATCTGTAACTTGAAAAGGGCCTCAAATTAGAATTTTCCGTGAGCATGCAACTTGATCCAAAAGTAAGGTAACAGCGAATTCTTTTCCTTATTATTTCTTAATAGTTCGATAGATAGATCTCATATTACGATCGTATATACTATATGATAATACTCAGAGAAGCTACCTATCATCAGTCTTTGTCTTTAAAAGTTTGTTAAAAAAAGCTCACAGAGATTTCTTTGGTATTCTAATACAATTATTGCAAAATTTCATCATTTTATTCTCGTATTTTGTTTCTATTTTTGTCTATTTGCATCAAAACGTATAGAATGATTTGAATTCAATTATCGCTTATGTTCTTTTAGGCCTTTTCCATTGAAAGCTACTGAAAAACAGAGCGTAACGGGAAGAAAAACCCGCTAACTTCCTTAAAAAACGGCAGACGCCTGTGACAATCACATAGGACTGCGTGGGAGGTATTCGGACGTTAAAAAAAACTCGTAAAGCCAAAGACTGATGATAAGCTATTTCTGTGAGTATTATTATATAGTATATGCGATCTAACTAATGACCTATTAAGTAAAAGTTGAAAAGGGCTCCGTGTTACCTAACATTTGAGTCAACTAATATATATATACATATGGGAGTGGTCAATCAGTCTGATACCTCAATGACTTTTATTCTGTTTGCCTCCAGCTATATATCAGAAAAATGTGATTTTTTGCCACTTGCAGTATACGTATAATGTTAATGATTCGTTACTATTTAAGCACTGTATCTTCATAAAAAGGAGACTTGCCAAATGTTTCTGTAAAATGATTTGTTAAAGATATTTCACAGTTAAAACTGCTCACATAATCCAATCTTAATTTGCAAATTGTAAACAACATCAAGTATCAGTAACAGAATTTTATTAGAAAATAATTAATCCGGAAGTACGGGCAATGCATAATGTTGTATACTGACGAATAGGATATTTACTTACCGTAAGATTATATCTGTCGAAAACAACACTTACGATTTCAGTTAGTTTTTGAAAATCTTCAATAGATCCTCGGTAATCACAACTTAAAATAGTATTAAATTCGTCAGTATGCAACATCATAAGCTAGCTGTGCTGCCTACTTAACTATTTTCTAATAAAATCCTGTTGCTGACAGTTGATGCTGCTTTAAATTTGTAAGCCAAAATTGGATGATATTAACATTATTTGAATTGAAATACCTTTAAGAAATTATTTTAAAGAAACATTTGACAAGTCTTCTTTCTATGAAAATACAGAGTTTAAATAAAAACAAATTAATAGCATTATGCGTATATTATAACTGGCAAAAAAATCATCTTTTTCTGACATGTGACTGGAGCCACACAGAAAAAGAAATATTGAGGCATCAAATCGGTTGGCTACTCCCATATATATAGATAGATAGATAGATTCGTTTGCGAACTAGATATATGATTTTAATCATAGCGGTTTTTATCTTCAGTTTTCCTGCTATTCATTTTCCAAGGAAAATAGAGGACGATTGATGACCACTGTTTTTAAAAGTATTCTTTAATTCAGTTTTTCACTCACGAGTCGTCATTGCAAATGTAGCCACTGGAATTCTTGGACTTTCACTTGATGCAACAAAAGAAAGTTTTGTACGACCACTTGATGAAGCCGATGGACGTTTCAGACGTTCGATCTCTTGTTCGAGACGTTGGATTTTGTCGTTGAGGCTCTGCCTCTCTTGATCATATTTTTGCGCTTCTTGTGTTAGACGACGATTATCCTGTTTGATACGTTGGATTTCTTCTTTGTGCTTTGGAATTTCGTCGCTTAGATGAACAATCTTTTGATTGTACTGCTGAGCTTCTTGTTTTAGTCGACGATTATCCTGCTTGAGACGTTGAATCTCGTCGTCATAGTTGGCGCAGTTTTTATTCAGAGCGTTGTGTGCGGTCTCAAGTTCATCGATCTGAGCC